TTTATAAATATCACACCAGCCGGCTAAAATGCTACAAATATCAGCATATGTCGGTACAAAACTTGCAACAGAATAATATAAATAAATATATCAATTCACTATAACATCCTTCTTATTTCTAGCAGATCTGTAGCTCATGTTATCCTCTTCAAAAGCAAACATCCTTGCTTGAAAAGCCTGTAGAGAATTCAAGTTCTGATCAAGGAGTTATCATTCTTATGCTCACTAAGGATATTGTTGATCTTCACAAGCTTAGTTTTTAATGCCCTCGATCAAAGAGTGGGATCATATTCAAATGGTGTTTGGTATCACCTCCTCAAAATTCTGATTCTTCTGCTGATTTTCATGGGCCATAATTCCTTAGTTACCAGTATCTCAATAACAGAAAAAATCTCCTTCAGAAGGCATGATGACAATGCAAAATGTCTACTATGAAAAACACAATAACAACACAAAATTTTCTCTGAAAGCACAACAACAATAAGAAAGGGGAGCACCATTGCTAGTATAAAAATAGGCTGAGAAATTCCACATTTGTTGTTTTGATAGCCTCGTTGATCGAATAAATAGATAGGGGGACTGTGTTGAGAGGAGACCTAAATTTTGAGTCAGGAGAATATTGAAGCTTTGAGAAGAAGCTGAAATCTAACATCACTACTGCATTGAAGATTTAATAAATACCTCTCACTCTTACAACTGCCAACCACCATTTGCTGAACATCGTCGACCACCATCAACTGCCATCAACTTGTTGCATCAAAGTTTTGTACTGAGTCAAGACTTATGTTGCGGAATGAAAAGAAATAACCGACGGTGTACCAACAATGAAAATGGTTTACTGAAGCTCTATCAACTACTCCCCACTGTGACTGCTATATATCATGGGGCAATAAGCTTTTCTATGCACAAACATTTTACCTCAAAAAATTGTGTGACCATTTCTCGTCTGTGGGACATGGGCATATACGTGTAATCACCAACTCATAGTGGATCATTTCAATTAGCTTCGACCTCATAGTGTTTTACCTTTCTAGGTTTTCTTCTTAAAAAATTCTAGTATTTCTATCTATCGCTTTTATTACCTGAGTATGTTGGATTCTCGTGTAATGCTAAGTGGATAATTCATCACTCTATCGCTACAAGTTCTTTAGCACACATCAATTTGAATAATAATTTTTTATTTTTTTATTAAAATAATATATCTACTCTAATTTTTTTATAGGTCAAGTCAAATTCACCAACTCGTAATGTCAATTCACGTATTAGTTTATGGAAAATTGACCCTCACCCACTAAACTGTGGGGAATACGTTGGTCAATTCAAATCAAACTCACTCAAAAGCCTTGTTAGCCCCCTTTTCATCATGTTCGATGTGATCCTTCTATATTACCCCTCTCTAGCAACCTCTTCACCAAATCTATCTCATATCTTTGATATGAAAAAAAACAGGAAAGAAGGAGGAAAGATTTTATAAAGAAAACATCAAACTTATCAAAAATTACTTTAGAAAACTTCTCGTAGGGTGGTCTTAGTAGGATGAGTGGAAGGTAAAAACCACAATAAGAATCATTGAAAGATTTTATAAAGAAAACATCAAACTTATCAAACATTACTTTAGAAAACTTCTCGTAGGGTGGTCGTAGTAGGATGAGTGGAAGGTAAAAACTACAATAAGAATCATACTATCTTGCTCCATCCAAAATTAGAATAAAATTAATGAGTACTCTTCACATATAACTAGAGAATCAAAATTTCTTCTTGTTATGGGTTCATGATCATTCTCTAGCGAGATGGAGGCTGTCCTTCCCAAGCCAGAAATCTGAATAAAATAATAACAAAATATCAGTACATATTGTCACTAATAAAAAAGTACAGAGGATAGAAATACAACATGTTCTTGCCGCTTCAAGCATAGGACGAGTCAGTTAAGGCGTGGAGCAGCGAGCCAAGATAGAGGCTACCTTTCTCGAGAGAAAGGAATCTGAATGAAACAATAAGTAAATATCAGGACGTACTGTCATTCTAATAAAACAATAGAAAGCATACAAAGTTAATATATCGTTGCTGTTTCGAGCGAAGGACTTGACAGTCCAACGAGAGCCGGTTCAGAATGAAAAAAAAAAATACTAAGAAAAAAATACCAACACATAATTTCATTCTATAAAATGATAGATAGAATAGCGATACAAGTTCTTGTTGTTTGGAGCACAAGTAGAGATGTTGTTCAAGCAAGGAAGTCATATGAATCCAGAGAGACATCTCGGGCAGGAGGAGCAGGAGAAGTTTGCACGCGATGTAGGTGCTGAAGAAGACTTGAAGCTTGGATGGACGTGACGGAGGGCACTATTTGATGTATGCAAAAATTTTAAGTGTGAAACACGTGAATGTTCAAGTTTCAGTTTCGAATACATAAAGATCAATGTTTTGGGTTTGACATGCATAAAACCCAATGAATTTTTATAAACTATTAAACCTCATAGTTTGACCGAGGGGCGGACCCCACTTTCAGAAAGGTGTGCAATTCGATCCTACGTAGTGATCAAACCCCCGACGCGTGAGACTTACACCAAAGACCGCAACTAATGAGTCAGACTAAGACGCGCGCGCACACACACTAGCTTCCAGGATAATATGCACAATTCCAACCAGGATAATATGCACAATTACAACTAGCTTCATCTATGAAAGTCATAATATTCCTTCCACCGTGGTAGGTGAATTTAGGGTCCTATTTGGGGTAGTGCACATGAAGTTTTTTGTGGAGAAGTTGATTGTCTATTTTTTGTTGTTTTGAAATGGCCGTGCTGTACGCGCGCGCACACACACTAGCTTCCAGGATAATATGCACAATTCCAACCAGGATAATATGCACAATTACAACTAGCTTCATTTATGAAAGTCATAATATTCCTTCCACCATGGTAGGTGAATGTAGGGTCTATTTGGGATAGTGCACATGAAGTTTTTTGTGGAGAAGCTGATAATCTATTTTTTGTTGTTTTGAAATGGCCGTGCTGTTGTTATTTTTAAACAAATAACATTTTTGTCTTTATACAATAACGTTATTTATAATATAGTTATTCATGCTAGCATATTTCATACTTGAAAGCAAATATTCAATTTGAATGTTACAAAATAAAAACAGACACATCACAAAACAGTGATAACACGTCAATCAAAATAATAAAAAAAAGATTATTCAAATAATAATTAATAATATGATAATATTATTTTTAAAATGTGATTGTTTTATGTCTTAAAATAAACTGTTCTCTAAGGAAGCTCGCCACTGCCGATCATTATTAGCGATGGATTCCTCCAACCCATCTTTCCACCTAAAGAAGTCACAACTTTTTATTATTCTCCCCGGACTGCTGTAAAACTTTTTCTCATATCTATGTGACTATCACGAGGTAAACATAAAACGTTGTACACCAAAGTAGAGTACAAAGCTCTAGAGGTATCAGAAGTCCTCGAGCTCATCTTTTCTAAAGGTTTAAATCTACAAATCACAAATCCTTAGAAACAACATTAGATAATAGCACACCACACCACACCACCACCTACCGTCAAGATCAATAACACACAACCACCATATCACCAAAACATCAGCACGAACACCACACCACTAATTCCACGCCACTACCACCACAATATTACCAAAACATCAACACAAACACCACACCGCCACAACCATACCACACACCACCACCTCCACACCACCTACCACCAAGATCAATAACACACCACACTACCGCTGTGACACAACCTACCACCACTTGATCAAAACCACCATTTCATACCAAACCAAACACCACCACAATCATAAAACACCAACAACATGACGCACAAAACACCACCAACAACATAATCCCAAAAACCACCACAAAATCCAAAACCACCATTTCACACCAAACCAAACACCACCACAATCATAAAACACCAACAACATGACGCACAAAACACCACCAACAACATAATCCCAAAAACCACCACTACTAACCTGAGCATCATATTTCGACATCATCAAATGGAAAACAGTGCACCATATTTTAGTATCACCAACAACACCCTAATTTCTCATGCCAACAATCACAAAAAAAAAAAAAAACCAAGCCATCATTCAATTTCCAACATAATTTCCACGTACTAAGAAAAATCACAGCACCATAATTTTCACATACCAAGAAAAATCACAAAATCAACTTCACAACACAACCATTCTCCAATCCATCAACTAAAAATAAAGCACAGAGAAACCAAGTCAGCACCGAGTACCTAAAAACACAAATAATTGCAAAATCAAAATGACCGAGTATGTGAACAATACCCTGGGCGACAAAGAGCAAATGATCCAAACGGAGCCGAAGAACAGAGGGGAGAGGGTGAGGAGAAGAAAGGCAAGTTCATTGCAACACCATCGAAACCAAATGAATCACTATGGAACCAACCCCAGCCACCGAAGCCACAGAGGGGAGAATGGAAGAACAGAGGGGAGAGGGAAAAAAAGGCAAGCCCGCTGCAACAATCTCCACAACAAAAAAAAAAATTGAATAAAATTGGAGCCACCAAAGCTACAGAGAGGAGAGGGGGCACACGAGTTTCGAGCGAGATACTAGAGCACAGAGAGAGAAGAACAGAGGGGAGAGGGAAAAAAAGGCAAGCCCACAACAATCTCCATAACAAAAAAGAAATTGAACGAAACTGGAGCCACCAAAGCCACAGAGAGGAGAGGGGGCACACAAGTTTCGAGCGGGATACTAGAGCACAGAGAGCCGCATGGAGGGTGAGGTGGGTAATACCATCGTGAATAAACAAACACAAATTCGAAACACCATTCTTTGACGTTTCCGCACCGCACTGCTGCTTTTAAACCACACCAAACACATCCTAAGATTTTCATTATAATCTATTAATATTACAAGAAATAGCAATTCACAATTAATGAACATATAATTAAACTAGTATCTTCTAATGCATGAGTCCCAATATTCCTCCCACCGTTCATCTCGAAACTGCCGCCCTTCCGCTTCACCTACCGCGGAAAACGAATGAATCATTTTCGATCTAAACCCGGCTTTATTTTCTCTACAAAATGTTGCCATATGGTCGTACTTGCACTCACAGCTTCTTCTCCGCCGATATCAGACTATAGTCTTTTGACAGCGACGCAACCGTCTAATTTGCAATTCTGTATAATTGGTGGCAGCTTTTCGAAGATTCTTTCAATGGAAATTAGGTGTTCGTTGGGCGTTAGCCTGCACTATTTTTAGTCTGCTTCTCCTTCACCGAACCAGCAAACCCTAATTTTTAATCTTTCATCCGAATGCTGCAGCTGATCTCGAGTTACGAGCGGTCTGTTGAATCTCGACAACATGAACTACAAGGGCTTGCTGAATCTCAAAGGCGCGGAGATATGCGGAGATCTAGAAGAGCGGAATCCTCCGATTTCGCTTCCCAACCAGTCTTCAGATTGCGCCCTTCTCGCTGTCGACATAGGAGGTTGGTTTGGTTCGCTGGCTCTAGCTTTTACTTGACTACTTTCAATTAATCGACCTCAGAGCTGATGTTGGAATTTGTTAGGAACTTTGATCAAACTGGTTTATTTCGAGGACAACGCGGAGGTTAAGAACCACGGAATGGCACTTGGGGGACATCTTAAATTCATGAAGTTCCAAACAAGTCGGCTGGATGAGTGCCTGGAATTTATTCGCTCAAAGAGGCTGCTCTACGGTAGAGGTAATGGTCTTTTGTTTATACGAAACACAGATTTTTGCAGCTTGAGCTGTAATTCCTCGTTTTGTCTATCTGACGGACTCATTTAATTTTGTAGTCATTTTTCTTTGAGGTGTTTTTAACTTATTAACCATATTAGCAGTGGCATTCCCAACACCCCAGCGGGAGTATGCCCCAAATGTGTACTATTTTATTAAGATAGCAGGCTCAGTGTAACTGCGTAAATTATATCTGGTTTAATTATGGAAATTATTTGTGGGAAAGTAGGAAATTGATTGAAAAAAAAATAAAAATAATAACTCATTGCAGATTTAAGAGCTTTATAAACAATTATTAATGAAATTTAAAGTATAGCGTTAAGTATATATTGGTGAAACTATGAAAATAAAAGTATTTACTTTCCTTGCTCGGCAAGGAATTTCTCTAATAGGAGTAGGTTTGTGAATGATCTGATTTCGAGCCAAGCTGTGGTTGACTCAAAATCTGTTTGGAGGATTTGAATACGGCTTGAAATCTGCTTGTGAATTGTTGTATTTGATTTCAATCTACATTAGCTCAAAATTGAATTGAACTTGATCTGCCTCAAATCGAAATGAGTTGGCTTAAATGGAGTTATTTTATATTTGTCTATAAGGAATAACACACGGTAGCTCAAAGGTCTTTGTAGAGCCATAAAACATAGCACATGGTGCTTCACGCAGCACACACCATTTTATATATATATAAAAATATTAAAAAAATTAGCTAAAAATAAGAGAATATTAAATTAAAAGATAAAATGATATGACGTAAAAACAACATAAATAATACTTAAATTCAAGTGCTCATTTCCTCAATTACTTAAAAATTCAAATTATTATGATTTTCTTATATGTCTAATATTTTGAAAAGCAACTAAACAGGTTATTAAATGAATTATCACCATCATCATAAGTCAAATAAATCTTATTTCCTTCATCAACATCATTTTAATCTCATAAAGAACAATTTTTATTATTATCCTCATCAAGCGAACATAACTCACTATCATGTGAACGACACAATATGGGTAGATTATTGTCCCATATATATACATATAAGTGCATGTATGCACGTTTGTATTGTGAAGTTCACATAAATACCCTCTAGTTCTTATATATTTACATATTCAACACCCAAATTTAATATTTACATATATAACTTCTTGTGCATAGTCACATTAGAGCATATTCATAAAAAAATGCATGTTCCACTTTTAAAAAATTAGTATTAATATTTTTGATGTGTTAAATAAATTTTAAATTTTACATTTTAGATATGCAAATATAAAGTTTTTTTTTATATTAAATCTAAAAATCAGTTTAGCACGTGCCATGAGGGTAATGCACCATTGCCCATGCATGGCACAAATAGAACATGCTATTTTGATGCACTACACTTTACCATGAAAATGACACTGAGGGTGCGCAATGCCGCGGCATATGCCACTGTGCATATTATTTTGAGTTATTGACATTTATGAGCTATTTGGATTTGTTCTAGCTTTGGAAGTCAAAATGAGTTGACTCATTTCGATTGAGCAAAATCAAAATTAATAAACACAAATAAATTGCAAAAAAACTCAAAATATCCTACCATTTTATATTCTAAAAGTTTACACATACACAGACACAACTACAAGCATACATACAGGTATACACATAGATATATATTAGCTTTTTTTTCAACAAATTAGAACTAAACTTTAAGCCAGTTCTAGCCAATTTGTGCATGGCTCAAAATTGTCTCTAAAAAGTTTGATCCTTTCTTTCAACTTATAGCTCTGCTCACTTGCTTCAATCAAGTTTTGATCTGAGCCAAAACTTGAATCAATTTTCTAACAATCAACGATCTTTGAGTTAAATTCTCAGTTCTAAATATGAGTATAACATTTGATGGTTCTTTTAGTTTTTCTCGACTCTTTCATGTTTTCTCTTTCTCTAATTTATGGCTATATTCTTTTAAAGATTTCTACGAGAAATTTTAGTTTCTTTCTTTTTAATTGCCACTTTGCATTGGTCATGTTTTCTAGCTAAATCAAACTATGGGAAGCACTATGATCTTTCTTGTCTTCATCTATTTTCTACTTTTCTCATAGAAAAATTCCATTTGTTGATAGCCCAAGTCTATAAACTTTCTGAGCCCAGTTGCTTCACTACTTTTTTATAACTTAAACTATGAATAGAAAATTTTTTGGAAAATATTAAGGATATTATTATTCTTCAATTTCTAGATACTCTCACAAAGAGAAGAATTCTTTAATTCCAAAACTACAACCAAGTGATATGTTTGGGATTTAATATAATTCAGATATTAGTAGTACCCTTGAGACTTCTTACTCATATGTTTTATCGAAGGGTGCAATTCTATAATATATTTTTAGTATATCATTTGCATAGCATAGCAGAAATTTCAAATTTCTGTCCTATGTCAACTTCTGAGATGATGCAATTTCAAAATCAATAGAAAATAAAACAATTTTTCCCTGAAAGCTTAAAGAGTAACTCAAAATTTTGAGGGAACGGTGGGTGAAATTGCATCCTCTTCAATATGTGGTTGTGCCACTGCTTATTAATGCTTAAACTCTGAAAGATTTTTCGTGCAGCTATCACCAATGTTCCAATTTAGCTGTATGAACTTCTTGTTGTTTTGTTTGTGTTTTGTCCCTAACTGAAGCTACTTCTAAACTAAATCTATTGTGTTTTACATAATTTGAACTCGAATCAAACATAATAGGTCTACCTTCAGGTAAAATTTATTATATTAGCAATGTCTCCTTTTATGTTTTTAGCTAAAAGATGTTTTCTAGTTTTTTGTCCAATATAATTTCAAGGCTTGGCTTTGAAAAATTTATACAATTAAAATGTATATTTTTCTAATTTTGGGGATAGTTTGTCACGACCCAGAGCGGAGCTTGGAATCAACCATGACGGGAATAGACGATCAGACGATATTAATCAATTTTTTATCGTTATTTTCTATAACTATTAATTATTCAAAAATGACAAATGAAAGAGCCACTAGAAATTAAATTAAAGAAGTTAACAATTTATCTTATGTCATATTGTTCACACCTTTTTAAATATTGTCTCTTCTATTGCTTATCTTTACACAAAATCTTAAACCTGAAAAGTTAATGAAAAATATAATAAGCTAACCAGTGCCAGTGAACAGTCATTCTTCTAGACTATAGTAATTTAATAAAAAAATATGTATGACAGTTAAACTTTTAATAAATTAGTATGTAATATTTGATAATTTATGAATATGATTATTCACGATATTTCATAATATTCAAGATGTTTAACTATATTAATAATATATCTATATCATTTTATATCTATAAAACAGTCCCAGGAGCACCGTCTAAAAATTATATCAGTTAAGGTACTTTAATATTAATATACTTTTTTATTTACGTGCACGTGTATCTTAGTATTCATCTACTAATACCATAAAAAGGTGATTTCATCATAGTTAATTATATATATAAAATCAATCTCTGCTCTCATATCATTCATAATTTTATATTACTCAATGTATAATATGTAATGAATAAAATTTTTCATAATGAGAGACTATAAGTATTCTTATCGAAAGGACCGATAAAATTTAAGAATAGATGAATCATCATATTAATCAAACATCAATAACAATTCTTACAATTGGCTGAGAAGAGATACAAAAATGATATTATAATTTGAGAGTAGAAGTACTCATTTCGATGTCGGTTTATTTATTCTTGAATTTTCTTTGATCTCCACTCTTCTAAAATTGATGCCTATAATAAATACGAGTATTCATATTACTAAAATTGAATTTATTCAATATCATTTTAATCAACTATTAACTTTACATTAGATAAGTATTAAATTTTCATTGTTTTGTTTTATGTACAATAATCTGAACTAATTATAATTTACAAAAAAATAAAAAATATATATATATATATATATATAACATTAATTAAATTATAATATAAACTCAAACTTACCTTACTGAAGTTTGCTGGGATCAATCCCTCTCGTTTAGCTCGCACACTTCACCTACTTCTCCCATCCAAGCTGAAATTCTATACTTCGAGTCCTAATTTATAAAAATTTTCTATGAACATTAATAAATAAACACACGCTCACACGCACGCGCCTCTTCTCTCGGTTGAAATTCACCTTGAGTCATAACTAAAATTATACCTTGAGTCATAATTTTTGTTAAATAACTTAATTAAAAATATTAAAACTCACCTTTTTCTGTCTCAGTTGGAAGCGCTAACACGCACACGCCTCCTTTCTCATCTTCCTTTGCCCTCAGTTCAACCCAACCTAGCACGTGTGATCCTCTTCTTCCTCCTCTTCGTTTGAACGTGAGGTTTAGCTTCTTGCCCGCATGCACGCACACAAAGCCTCATTTCCTCTGGGCTCGAGCCCTTCTTCTACTCCATCGCACAATAACAGGGGTTTGAGCTCTTCTCCCCTTTCTCTCATTTGATGCCGCCTTCAGATAAATGGGCTCCTCACCTTCTTCTTCCTTCCTATGGCTTGGGTTCGACACGAAATCATATTTCTCGCATGCAGAGAATCTTTCCTTCTCCACCTATGCGCCGGATGTGTGTGCAACTCACCTCCAAGGCACAATACACTTCTTTCTCCCTCGGCTTATTCGGCTAGGGTTTTTGCGTCATTGACTTCGTTCTTGAGTCTACTTCACTTCTTTTTCTTTTGCGACAGATGACGCGTTGAAGCCTCACCCCATGCTTCCTTCTTCTCACTAAAATTTCATCTTCTTGCTTCTTCCCTCTCTCACTCTATCCCTCGCTCTGAGTCTCTCCTTGCTACTCTCTCAGTTCCGTTAGATTGAAAGAGAGTATACGACCTCAAGTCAAAACTGTAGAGACACTCCTATTCAATTATTATTATCATTAGTAATTTTATTTTTATTTATTTATAACTTAGAGTTATTACAATCTCTCATCGTCATAAAAATTTCGTCCTTGAAATTTACATAATGTACTGCATGTCTCAAATCTCGCACTTGACGCCGCCTCCAGAGAAATGTGCACCTCCCCTTCTTCCACTTCCTTTCTTCGACTGGGGTTCGACACCACCTCTTACATGCAAAGAATCTTTCCTTCTCCACCTATGTACAAAACACGTGTTGTTCACCTCCAAGGTGTGATACACTTCTCTCTCTAGGCTACTCAGCTAGGGTTTTTGCCTCGACTTTGTTCGTGAATCCTCTTCACTTTTTGTTCTTCTTTTGCACAAATCAGGGCCTCACCTCTCCCGCTTCCTTCTTCTTCTAATTTATTTTTCTTCCTTCTAGTCCCCTCTCTCACTCTCTATCCCTTGTTGTCCGTCTCTCCATTCCGTTGGATTGAAATAGGGTATACAAATCCTTAGTCAAAATCGTAACGACGCTCATGTTCAATTATTATTATTATTAGTATTATTTATTTATTAATAACTGTGGTTTTTACTTAATTAATTCACCGTTAATTATTTTCTACATTATTTGCTCAATAAGTTAGCATATTAATTGCATGTAAACAAAGCTAAATTTTTTCTAAATTTTATTTTGCTTCTATACTTTTGTCAGATATTTGCTTGGAATTATATTTTACCAAAAATTAGTATTCGTTGACTATGCAGGATTTGCAGCAGGTTCAACAATCATGAATGTGGATATGAAGGTATGCATAAATCTGAGGATTGAAGAAGTTCATAAGTTTACTTTGTCTCAATGATATTCTCTTATCCTATAGTATTACTGGATACTTCTTTATTTTAACCATCCGGTCTTAATTCTAGAAATTAGATCCTCATATGCAACCTTTTCAGTAATAGATCTAAATATGTAAATTTATTATATGTAGTTATTAGTTTATTTTCAACCTTGTTTTTTGTATTTCTTAGTTTCAAACCCCCTGAATTTGCATACGAAATACTTGGTCTTTATTCTTCTAATTATGATTTTTTATATTCTAATCTCTTTTATTTCCTTGAATATTTGCTATTTAAGAAGAGGTATCGCCAATTAGACTACATCTTTTGTAAATGACTTACATATTGGCACCTTATCTTGAATATCCTTTCTTAGTATCCGTTCTTAGTATCTCTATAATTAATACAAGAAGATAATGACATTTTTTATCATTGATAGGATCTCATTATGATATGGAGCTTTTTGATTGCTCCTCTACTGTTTCTAATGCCACTTGTTGCTTCATCAAATCATAACTTTAGCATGCCTTTGACATGCGTTTTCTTAATTCATGTCAAATTAGTTCTCATCGTTATCCATCACTTTTCTTTTTAAGATCAATAAAAATGATTATGAAGGTATTGCTCAACTTGGTAACATTTTGATAATGAGAAAAATTAAATGGATGGTTTAGGAGTAAGATTTCTTTTGCTATATATTGAATGTATGATTGTCCATGGCAGCTTCTCATGTTAATTAATTGGAAGATTTACATACATACCACTCACTTCTTATGTATTCACATATCTAAAACCTAAACTTTAATTTTTACATCCGTAGCTGGAATTTTTGATGTGATATGAATGATTTGGATGGTATAAATGTAAATAGCAAAGTTTTGGTGTTAGATATGTAAATACATAGTAATTGGATGATATGTTTGTAAATGCCCGTAATTAATTCTGCGTTCTTCATTATATGAAATATCAAATGACTTATTTTCAATTCTGTTGTAGGCTACAGGCGGCGGTTCCTTCAAGTTTGCTGACATCTTCAAAGAGAAGTTGGGTGTTTCTCTTGATAAATTGGATGAAATGGATACTGTTGTAACTGGAGCTAATTTCTTGTTGAAGGTATTAACTTAATCTGTCTGCGGGACTTAGATTTAGTGTGCTAAATACACATATAGTTTCTTAAGAGAGTTCTTAAAAAGTATTTAAAATCATTCTTGGAATTCCGTTATAGAAATATGCAACATCAGGACATGCATCATGAATATTTTATTTTTCTGTCATATTAATATGTTTTAACTTTACCTACTTCTAGTAATTTTTGTCCTAATATTAAAAAATACATTGTTATTTTGACCCCCAATTAATGAACTAAGGTAAAAGGGCAATTTTGTAATGTGGCACCGCCACCTACCACATCTCACCTACCGCTCACCTACCGGCCACCTACCGGCCACCTACCACCCACCTACCTCCCACCTACCACTCTCTTGCTTCTATAAATAGAGAGGGTGTGAGGCTTAGGAGAGCAAGGGAAGAAATCTTAAGGGTGTGAGGCTTAGGAGAGGAA